TCTTCCGATTCAGAGAGGATCTAACAGTACCTGGGCGGTTACCGGGGGAATCACGAGAGAAAACCTACCTATTTTATTCTCTGCGACCAGATCCACACACCCATTGGCTGTGCGCCACTAGTATTGTGCCACGTCAGCAGTGAAGAAGTCCCTCGCGTAAGCGTTTGGTGTAGTTAGTACTTAGTAGTTGGTTGGTATCATTGCTTGTTAAAAATTACTATTAAGGTATTGTATCTGTAAAATAAAAAATAAAAAATAAAAAATAAAAAAGACGACGGTTGTTTAACCAACGAGTGTACGAATTCACAAAGACGTTTTTACCTTTTGTTTTTTGTTAATGGACTTCAATTCTATTGAACCACCCATGCATGGACCCGAGACTTACTGGACCAAGTCACCAACAAATCAAACTTTAACCATTCAATCATGCTCAAAATTTTTAAAAATATCTAAAAAGAATTTACATTCTACATAAATTTTGTAGCATTCAATCTAGAATATTCATTCTAATATTACAAAATTTTCACCGTTTCACATATTATATCAGTTTTCTAAGAACGTGTAAATTTACTAAGTAAAAATATTTTGTGTATAAATTATTTCATCTATACAAATTACACATTTAAGAATAATTCTTTACATGTATATAGTAAATACGTTTAGAACTACATTAAATTAAATGAGTAAGAACTGTTAGAATCTAATGTGAAAGTATTATTATAGGAAATTCTTCAAATTTTGCTTTCATATTGATAGCTAGCCCCTCATAAAAGTTTTATATATACGCAATATAAGTCTTATCAGTATTATTCTTTTTCAAAGTCTTACACAAAACTTTAATTAACAATTGATCCCATATGTCTTTCAAGTCAATACAAATTATATACAAGTCTTTTTCTTTGCTTTGACAATTGATACTTTTCTTTAATTAAAATGCAGAAGATAAGTAACTTCTATGTTATAAATTATCTAGACATAAATTTGAATTAATTCTCCACAATATTAATTCCTTCGTCAATTTATGCTTAATTATATTATCTTATTGTTTTATAGTATGAGCTTTTTTTTTTTGTCTATGGAGTATCCATGGTCGATAACAGTAACTAATCTCCTTATTACGTTGGAAGCACCTCAAAGGGTGGGATAACAGTGAATTTTATAATATGAGTGATAAGTTTTATTATTTTTTCTATTTTTTTTAAATACACAATCAACCTTTATATATTAAATACGGACAATTATTTTGTGCGATAATGTTTTAGGAGTTTTTTTTTCATATAAACATTTTAAAGAATTTTTTGATCTTCTTAACCAATTCAAATTTTTTTATTTTTCATATTTATTAATGAATTTAAATTTTATTATTTTTAAAATGATAATTAAAAATAATCTTATGTCACAATATAAATTATTTATATTAAATTAAAAATATAATTTATATGTTTAAAAATCTTGATTTACATATTTTTAATATAATTTATATATTTAAATATAATATTTATTTAAATATAATGTTTATTATTATATTTAGTTATATATATTTGCACATACAAGGAATGATAATAATTTTATTAGTATTTAACAAAAAATTGTAAAGCGCGAACAATCTAACTTCTCAAAATTGTATATAAGAATGAAATAAAATATGCAAGTTAATTAATTCGGAACAAGTCTTTTTATATATAAGAGTTTCTAGTTATTTTAATAATTATATTTTTTCACACTTTAGTTTTCATATTTATTTTACACCTTTCTTTATTTAATAATGTTTTAAGATAATTCTATTATAGGCGTGCAACATCTACATATAAAAGTAAATATTTATCAATTTCATTAAGAATTTATCTTTATTAGAAAATGTTGTAGTTTGTTATTTTTATTTTAAATCATATTGCTTGTTATATTTATTTATTTTTTATTTCAAATTTTTTTAGGAATATATAGACATCTCTTAAAGGTGTAAAGAATTTTTTTTCTTCATTCCATTGTGATTAATTTTAGGTAGGAATCACAAAATGAGTCAATTCACATAAAATAGAACAAACGAAACCATACACTAAAAAAGTGGATGAGATAGAGTGAGTTGCATACCAAAAAAATGGATTGAAAAATGTAACCCATCTTACTTAATAGTGGGTTTATAGGTTGACTTACTTTAATGAGTTAAAAAAAGTGTGTTGACAAATTGACTCAACTTCAATCCAATCAATTTTTCTTAAAAACATTCATTAAAATATTTTAGTATACATTATCATTTCGACCTATAATTTTATTATTATTTATAAAACTGATTATAAAAGTTATATTTTTCATGCAAAAGACTAAAATAATATATTTTCTATTAAAAAAGGTACTATACATAAAAAATATATTAATAAAAACATGTGATTAAAATAATATACTTCTATCTTATATAAAATGAAAATAATTACCTATAAATAAAAGTTAAGTTATAAAATAAAAATATTGACTCAACATATGTCTATTACAAATTTATCTTTATGAGTATACAACAAAACAAAAAAAGAATTTATAGGCAGATCCATTAAGTTGGTGGATTTAATATTTATTCTACTCAACCCACAAAAAAAAATAGTATATTCAATCCACATTGTCATCTCAAATTAGTTGAGTTCAATTTTTAATTTACCATGCATTTTTTTTAATTTTTAATTTTATTTTTTATTTATCACAACACCTAGTATGTTTATCATTTTTCTTTAAACCCCTTTTTATTCTTTTCTTCCTTCTTATGGTATATAGTTACATACACTTTCCACAAAAAGCTTAAAAATAATCTTTTATTATCAATATTAATTTCTTTGCATTTCTATATTTATATTTACCCTACTTTTACTTTCTACTATCTTTTTTCTTTTTTTTTTTCTTTATTACATCACCTACGAATGATATCAATAATTTCTTCTCTCTTCTTCCTAAGGTGTATACAGAATGCGCCCTTAACAAACGTGATTTTTAATTTCTTTTATATCTCTATTTAGCATTTTATTATTGCCCCAACGTCTCAGTTGATTTTTTCCCCACAACAAGCATTTTCTTTTAGGGAGTTCTATTATCTCAGCTGATTTTAGGACACTGAAATGCAATATGCTCAATCTTTGTTTTTGACGATAAATATGCTAAACCTGAAAGATACTAAACATAGAGATCACATAAAACTGCAATATATGTTAAGGTACAAGCAAACAATATATGCCCTTACTTACGTCTCTAATTATTACATAACTTGTATTTTGTTATTGTCGGATATTCCACGTCATCTAGTATTATGTTAAGGTACAAGCAAACAATAATTTTTATGTTATAAATTAGTTTTCAAAAATTAACTTAGATTCTTAATTCATTTTCTTAAGGTAGCTAGGATTAAAGTTCATACCAGTGATTTTTGTTGTTGAATTTATCATGTAATTATGAGATCACCCACATATGTTCATTCATGCAAACTTTACGTTTTACATATTTAGTCTTTACAAACTGATTTTGTACGTAAAATTGAATTAAGTGCATAATCTACTTTCTTGACAGTCCTCACCATATAGTAATTGGTTCTTCAACCAACTTCGACAAACTTAGACTTCACTACCCGACTAAATAGACTAGTACTACAATCACAATCTGACAGTGGACAGTTTTATTTTCCACGATGATTGAAAATTCAGTATTTACAAGACATGGTTAGGAAAGTTTATTTGATTCCCACTTTTGCAAAAAAAAAAAAAAAAAGGATAGAGAATTTTTTTTTGAATCTGTTCCCTTATTTGTATTATATTTATATATTTGTGGAACTAAAAATCATTCATAATATATTTAGTTGGAATTGATAAGCATCAGTTTCGTCACCAAGATATGACCATATAAACTATCATTAATGATTATTTTATTTTGTATAAATGCAGGATTAATTTCACAGCACTACTCTTGCTATAACCTTGGTTCAATTTTTGCTAACTAAGCATGGAGTATGCTTTATCATAATTCGATACTGAATGATGTTTGTGGGGGAAAAGAAGAGAATAAAAATAAACACGAGATAGAAAAAAGGTAAGGAATGTAATACCTTTCTTTATCGTGGGACAAAGTTGAAGAATCCATAGCACTAGATCATAAAAGACGAGAATTTCCCTGTTAACTTTTAAATTTGTGGACAACGCCAAGAGATGGAAAAGTTAATGCCAGCAAAATATTTTTTCTTTTTCTATATGTTTCCTCAATATTCTATTCTCCCCCCTCAAAACAATTTTCAAAGTTCGAAATAATTTTTTTTCCGAGTTTAATAGACATGCACCGTGAATAATCATAGCAAGATTTAATGTACATGATAATTTATAATTGGATAATAATACAAATAATTTTTCCTTGCATAAATTATTTATTCTTATTATTTTACCTAACTTTCTGCCCATAGTGAAACCTCCCCTCTTCACTATAGAACACATGAGGTTAACATGAGAAGGATGGGCAAAATATGGCAGGAAAATTGATTTTGACCTATATAATGGTTGGACAGACTGAGACAAGCAGAACCATAATGGGTTAGCTAGCTGTTAGTGTTTGGTCAATTACCATGCAGCTTACATATCTTTCAGAGAATATTTTCTTCACAAGATGCAGAAAGAAGCATGGACACACCACAGATACATATTCAAAGCAAGTGATTGCTGATACTTCTCATTTAACTAGATGACTTGAAGGCTTTTGAATATTACTGGTAGTTGCTTGAAACAGATTGGAGAAATAGGGAGGAAGGTGGCTGAGCCTTTTCTGAGATGCATTAAGGAAGAAGAAACTTTCAGGGTACGATCTTTACAATACTTGTGAGATTATCAGCCTTAATTAACCAAAAAATTGCCATGTTATGGGACTGTCAGTATCATAATCAGGTAAGTGAGACTGTAGTCCAAGTATATAAATCAAACTTCATTAAGAATATTTATGTGATTACATCATAGCTAATCAAATGCTAGGAACCACTTGACACATAAAATACTAGAATATCAATACTAAGCTCACTATTCATCTGATTCAAGCCAGCTTATTCTTCCAGCAGGTATCAGGAACTGTTTTTGTGTTTCTTTTTTCAAGATAAGGCCTGGTAAGGCTTGAGCATTTGGGTGAGTGAACCACTTAGGTGGAGGGACATGATTTCGTTGGTGGATCCCATTAGCTTCCCTCCTATGAACACAGCTGGGACTGGAGCAGTGCAGCCTAACCTCAATAGTGCTTTCTCCATTTCTCTTCCTTCAGGGTCATGGTCAATCTCATGAACCACAGGCCTCACCCCAAGTTCATGAAACAGAATGTTGACTGCATAGCAGAGGCAACAAGAGCTCTTTGTGAAAATCACCACACCCTTTTCAGAGGCCAACCTCGTCACCTTGTCCATCCTGATACACTGATCAAGCACCTGTTGTTGTTCTAAATATATTTACAGAATCCTGTTCCTGACACAACCCAAAAAGAAATGTAATTAACACAGCAAAGAAAAAAAATTAAGTCTAATTTAGAAGAGGGGTCTTAAGAAAAATCACCTTAGACTCACTAGAACTCCCAAACCATCAGACCGAATCCTAACCGAATTCGATCCAATGGCTATATTGGGTTGGCAGTCTAAGGAGTAGATTTGGGGAATAGAAAATTATATGAAGCTTGAGGTTATTTGAAATGAGCTGATATACTAGTCTATTTATAGGGACAGCTTTGCAGTAAGAGCAAAGCACATTGAAAAGAGGTTGTGCTTTTTAGATACCCAATTTAGTGTGTGATCTTATTCGGTTGTGCAAGTTGGAAGACATATTTCCACGTATATGCCTCAATTGGAAGACTGGTCACGAGACCAAAATCTTATAGTACCAAGATTTTCTACAACATTAACAAATGCAAACAGTATCTTCCTGTGACTAAGTTAATGCAATTTCCTGTGTCAAACGTGTGTCACATATTAACCATTTGTTAAACACTTAAACTTGCAAGACTTTTGTGAATGTTAAAATGCTGCTCTCTCTAAATGAAACTCGAAATAGTGATGAATGTCAATTTATATATATCTGATTCTCACAATCCACCGCTTTGAATCCTTGTGCCTAAAGAATGAGAGACTGAGATGACTTTTTCAGTGGCTACAAGATTCTGTGTTGCACCCACTAAATTGTGCGATTCTTCTGACACTTAAACCAGTTTAATTTTGGAGTAGGGAAACTACGTAGATGTATCACTTACATAAATGAGGACACGAATGGAATACATCATACACGTATATAACTACAGAAAAAAAGAGGCAACCATTCAACCCACAAAAGAATCCTATGCATCATAACTGCACCATCCAACTTCATATCCATAGGCACCAGCACAAATACACATCGTAGTCACGTGAGTTTTGGTTTGATAGATATATATGTTAGTAACTAATAAATATGGACATAAATTAATTGTCATTGCGCATGTTGCTTGACTATCACGTCGTGCTCCTGCAGATAAATTATTTAGAAATTAAATCATGCTTTTGCATATTTAGTCTAGACAAGCATGGAAATCATACAGGAAAATTAATATATCCTGCTTTGAGTGTGGATAGGGAGGAATAATGAAGGAGACATAAAAAGTGCGTGCATTGTGCATAAACTTTTTGTCTCAAGGTTATGAAGGCGCGCCATGCACGTTCCTCGCTAGAGTTTGAATATCTATACAACCAACATATCGCTAAGTGATGTGTCTACTAGATTATTGTCTCTCGCACCTGGTGCCCAAATTGAGCGGTGAGGAATCAACACCAACTTATGCCTTAACACTCGGAATAATACAATTCAGCAAAATAAAAAATAAAACAAAACAAAACAGAGAATAATACAACAAGTGTCTTATCCCACTAGCCAATCGGCTCAATTAAAGACCAAAGTTTCATAAATGTTATTTACTTCAAGAGTCTTCTTGACAACTTCTCTTAGATTTTTTGACTCCCCTCCTTTCCATAGCACTAAAAATCGTACAATCTACTCTTCGCTTGACGTCTTCTTTGTATTTTCAGATCACCTTAATCGATTTTCTATTATTTTTTTTCCTTTTTACCAATATCTTTTTGTATACAATTAATTATTTCGTATCAACCCTTGGAGTAATAGCGATGATATATTTCTATTAGCTTAGCTGGCTATCATGAAAAAGTGGGGTATTTCCTTTTTCACCAAACAGACGAGACTTTGATGGAATACTATGTTTTTCATTAAAAAGAATACTGTTGCGGACTTTATTATTCGACAGCAAATTTGCCTGCAATAGAGTGAATTGATGACTACTAATTTACTACTATAGGCAAGAGGAACATTTTAAGGTTAAATCAGAAGAAGTGTGTGATTAAAGCGAATCCAAGAAACTTTATAGTTTGCATTAACCATAGATAATCCACTTTCTCCCGCATGATCAAATTTCATGCAACTTAGTAGACATAGAGTTAACCTTTTAGAAAATACCCAAAACAAAAAAAAACTATTTTTTTATACAGACTTCTTTTGGTACAATTCAAAGAGGACACCGAAGAAAAAGCAAGAGTGTCCCTGATTGATCAAACACTGTCTGCAAATAGCATATTAGAGTTCCTCTATATCACTTCAGTATATGGAACTCTTTAGTGTAACTAAGAACTTGTTTAGATACATGTTAGAAGTACTTTAAAAAATCTCTCTACAAAAAGAATTCTTTATTTTTTGTAGAAAAGTTCTAAAAAGTTCTTCTAAACTTGTATTTAAACAGACTTTAAAACTAAAACCAGATGGCCCTTGCATCCATGAGCAGTTGTTTGAGAGAGCCATCAACATGGAGGGATATGATATCTTTGGATGAGCCCACAAATTTTCCACCTATGAACACTGCTGGGACTGAAGGGTTGCAGCCCATACCCCTTAAGGCCCACTCCATTTCCCTCCCATAGGAATCATTGTCAAGCTCATGAACTGCTGGGCTTGCTCCAAGCTCATAGAAAAGTTGTTTGATGCTGTGACACATGCAGCATGAACTCTTGGTGAATATAACAGCAGCCTTCTTTGATGCCAAGTCCTTAACTCTATCCATTACTGCAAAGTTCCCTTAGCTGAATTAGGGAGAATATGAAGCTGAAAAATATTCAAGTGTGGGAAGCTGATTGTTAGCAAAGGTTTTGTTTTGCCCTGGTGAACCTTGAGATTTCATCACCTCTTATTTATACTAGTTGGTGAGGATAGTGGATTGAATTGTATAAGCTAGAAAAGCATAGAAACAAATTAATTATAGTTAAATAGATAGGAAAGAGAAAGAGAGAAAGTTCCTTCAGATATTTGTTTGGATAAGGGAGGTGCCCCCTGATCATTTGGTCGATGTTGACACAGCCAGTACCATTAACAAGTTGCATTTAGCATCAAATTAAACTGTAAACGATAATCCAAATATCTAGTGTGGCCGTACGAGCAATCAAGGCAGGAATAAGAACAATGTATAGTTTATAAGCCAAAAAACTCTTTCCGCCCAGCCTCCAGCATCAAAAACATTATTCTAATGTTAATATGAGCAAACTTCTCTGAGGCAGATGGCACAAAACCACTGCTGCGTTGTCACAAAATCTATCAAAAGCATGGAATCCAATAGAATTAGTAATATGCAAAGTCAGACTCGGGCTCAGAAGAGGAAACGAATTCCAAGTGTCATCCGCATGGTTAATTGGTTATCTATCAATTACGTAACCATAGGCCATACCTTGGCCTATAATGTTTGTGTGTGTTGCCCTGAGAAATTATTAGGTACTACCATATCATACGATATTAACTAGTTTTCATATGCCATGTTTTCGTAGATTTAAATATATATTATATAGTGATTAATTAAGACTATAATCACTTAGTGGTCCAGACTATTTATTAATTTCTTGTGTTGTACGGACGGGGTTATCCTGCCCGTATTTATTTATTATATAAAACATAAGAAGTGAGTAAGCAAAGAAGAAAAAGAAATATGGTTATGTTAATAACTCGCTTTTCTTGTTATTTAACCAATTACTCTGTCTATTGATGTGGTGTTTATGATCTATTAAACCTATAAAAAAGCTTCTGCAACATGTTTGTATGTGTTTATGTCTCTGTATGACGTTAGGCTGTGAGGCTGATGTGGGGAAAGATAAGGGTTTATCCGATTCCTTTCCACTTTTTCACTTTGGTGCCTGTAATAGAATCATGACATCCACAATAACTGGTTAGGATAAATTAATACATAGTTTAGGATTATTATGGTAGTGATATCTAATCGAGTTTTATTAACTATTTCTTATACTCGATTGTATGTCACGTAGAAATTAGCAGAGATTGTGGACATATAATAGTGTTAATTAGACTGTAATAATTGTTCAATCCTATGATCGGGTAATGAACCCTAATTGTATTTGGCCCTTGGTTATGGGAAGGGATTCTCCAAATTATGGGTGGCATGAAAATCATAATGGGGTTAATATTTGATTTCATCCATATGATTCGATTATTGCATGGTATAAATTCCTTGGCTCTGAGCAATCATGTTTACTTTGGGTGAATGCTTGTATACATATCCATGAAAGCAAATCCAAAGAATTTTAGATTCTTGCACATCAACTTTTAGTATCAAGTGAAGGAAGGAGAGAATGTCAACTTGGAAGCAAGAATTTGCTAGAAGGATAAGGTATAATTTGATGTCCAAGAGTGGAGAGGGTTAAAGATTGCACTGTATTTAGATATCTTATGCTGGGTGGTTAGGCAACTCTAAAGAAAACCGACCAAATCGGTTATCCAATATTCTTTAACTGTTTCAACAAGTCCTTATGCAAAACTAAAGTTTTCAATTATTCCATTTATGCATTATCTGTTATATTAATTTTTCTACATTTTTAATATAACTATTTTTGGCAAATTATACCATGTCCTATTTTGCGATTATTAATTTCTATTTGAAAATTTGATTAGTCATTTATTTTTTTTCCTGAATTTTCCTCTCCAATACATTAATTATTAAAGGAATTTGAGATCAATTTGCACTCGGATTAATGGTATGTTGGTGAGGAAATTTTATACTATAAGTGCATTGTAATTGAATTTATTTATTTTTTCTTACAAAAATGATGTTAATTGTCATCCATTGACTCTTGCAGATTTACGTAGAAACTTCGGCACCGAAATGATCTAGATCTACTAAGCAAAAGATACTGATAGAAATTCAAAGGGGTGGCTGTATCTTGATGAGGGATAAGCCTCCACTAAAGTGAGCTTGTATAAACAAAAATTAACAAAAAAGGAGCATCTATTCTTAACTTTTAATTGATTGATCGCAATGTATTCCTAATTAATTTAATATTACCTATGTACTTGACAAGCTCATTTTGTATATTTTTTTCCTCAACTAATTAAGATACATGGTTTTTAAAGATAAATTTTATTTATCTTCCTTTTTTTTTTATAACAATTTTTCTATAACTTGGTGACATAATATATATATACACACACAATAAGCTTTTCTAGACAAATCTCGCACCGGCCGGGAAGTGTGTGGGACAGAAGGACCTGAACAGGATATTTGATCAAAATTCAAAATACAAATAGCAAATGTGTAAGTAATAGGTCAAGCCAAAAATTATAACATGTCATGGACGTGCTTAGAGTCATAACTCTATACTCCGAGGTCATGAATTTTGTGAGAGATAGTGGGTGTATAATGAGACCACATCACCTCTTAGAAATGATGATGCTGAATTACACAGATTGAAAGATAAACAAGGGAAAGTTATGTTCTCCATCAATGCCATCATTGGACTCAAGATGTTGGAACACAAAACTAAGTCAACATCACAACAACCCAAACGTATAGCTTGGAGCACCTTTGTATTGTAGCCATAGACTGTCAAAAAGAAAAAAGTTTCACAACAGCTGCAATTTCTAGAAGAGGTGTCTATAATCTGGCAAGGATTTGTTCAAGATCTAATATAGTAGAATAGAATAATTATTCTATTATGATATACTTATCTTAGTAAGTTTCTTTTATTAAAAGATGAAGTGAGTTAGGAAACCATAAAATATAATATTTTTTTCTCTTTATATACATTTAGAGATATGTCTCTATTATATTTATTTAAAAATAAAAATAATAAAATAGTAACTTGTAATTAAAATGTGAGTAATTCACATTTCATTCACTATCTACAAAATAACGAAAAGAGAAGCGCGATTTACATTGAAAAAAGATTTGAAAGTTTCACAATCAACCCCTATATATCCCTTTATATTAATAGCATTTTGAGTGATTTTTTTTCTCTCTTTCTATATAATTCAATTTTTTATTTATTATATTTATTTAAAAAATAAAATCTAATATTTTAAAACAAATTATCAATAATTTTAAAACAATATATTTATTTATCTTAAATATAAAATATAATTTATATTTTATACTAATTTTAATTTTAAAAATAATTTTTATATATATATATACATTCAAATATGATATATATTATAAATTTTAATTATATATAATGAATATTTAACCAATTAAATACACGTACTAAAATACTATCGACTAAAAACAAAGCTATCAATATAAAAGTAGAAATAAAAAATGGTTATCAAAAGAAATGTGTTCTTAAATATCATGTGTTATAGTTTAAAAAGTATATTAATTTTAAGAAATAATTTCAAATAACACTAAAAAATTATTATTTTAATAATTAAAGAATAGTAAAAAAGTTTATAAAAAAACGTAACATTATATATAATTCAGAAATGAAAGATAAATATGTATATGAATATTAAAATATGAATTAGTTTTTTTATTTTTATTTAATCTTTTTCTCACAATTTTAAAAACTAGAAAAAATATGTGTTTAATCTAAACAGACCTTAAAGAAGATGAGTGTAATTTTTACTAAAATTACAATTATATTTTCTTTGTGAAGAAAAAAAAATACTATATTATATGATGATGGTTTCATTTTCTGAATGTAATGTTGATGGGCCATGTTAACTCCAAGCCCAAGAGAGGCGAAATGGACCCAGCCCACGACCGTGGCTTCTCCTTGTGTTTCGAGTTTGTCATTTGCGAGACACAATCATCATCGTCTCCGCCGTAGGGGCTAGCTAGGTAAGAACCCTCTCTTCGTCTTCCACTTCTGCACTAAATAACTCTTTTTTCTTTCCTTTTTTTTTTTTTCCTTTTTATTCTCACTATTCTTAACTCATGCCATATACACCATTTTCTTTCCATTTCTTTCTCATATCAATGAACAGATTCATGCGGGAACTTTTGCCAATGCTATCGTGAACTGCCCTTTTTCGAAAATTGATTAAATTTTTAATCTTTTACGCTATACGCTATCTTGACGTGTGTAATGACTTTGTGATCGGATATTTCAGCTTTGAGGGTTTTGGTATTTTCACATCCCTCTCTTCTGAAATACTATTGGGTTTAATTGTATTTTTTTGTATTCAATTCTTAGTAGCTTTGATTGTGAAAATTCATTTTCCATTTTTTTTTTTGTTGAAAATGGACTTTGAAATTCATTCTGAAATTTGATTCCTGAATCGGTTGTGGCTTTGCGTCAATCCAGTAATTAATTAATTTATTTATTATTGAGGGCGGATTTCCGCAAGTGTGGTCACATCGTTTGTAGGTGGAAACCCTGATTGCATGTTCACACTGTAAAATATCTGTTCCCCAAATGCAATAGTTAGAATTATGAATGAACAAGTTTGAATTGGTAGTTGATATTTAAACATGTTTAAGATGGCGATGAACTGCACATAACACTATATTTACTGACATTATCAACTTTGAGTTGTTAATTAATGATTAGCTGTCTAGTTTTGGGAATTTGTTGTTATGGCTTTATAATTTGCACTGAACCGTCTGCATGTGAGTCATGTTTCCATGAGTTAGATATTGAATAATTAGACTTTAATAATGCATTAGGGTTTTGAAGATCTTGTTGGTGCCATTAGATGACCTCATTATTTTATTTTTCAACTATGATGATTGGCTTGTTTATGAGTTCTTATCACTGTAAAATATTCCCATTGATTTTATTTTTATCTTAGGTTTGCTCCAATGGAGGATACCCAAGAAATTGGGGAGCAAACACATGAAGAAGTGATTTCAGACAAAACATCTGAGAGGCAGGAAACTCTTGATGAAATTCTTTCACGGCACAGGTGATTCACTCTTCATAAGATTAAAAACATAAGCTCTCACCATTTTTATGAATGTATTTACTCTTACATAGATGCTCATAGAGATGGATTCTAAAACTCAACACAAATGGGCTTTATCCATTCTGGAATCTGGAGTACTAAGTCATTCCCTTAGTT